GATTATCATCAAATTACTGAGAGAGAGGATCAACAATCTCCCCATATTTGATGATAAGAAGATAACATAAAGAAAGTTATCTTATCAAATAATAGTAAGGAAAAGTTACATATAACGTACATGTCCCTTTTTACTATTTTGGGATCTTTTTCAGTTTGGTTAGTTTCAGCTTGAGAAATTTTCTTAAGTTATATCTAAGAAAATTACAAGGACGGAAACTGAAACTGAAAGCTTATTCACTGATTTATAGATTGTCAGTGAATGATAAAAGTAACATTGGAACTCATAGACTTGTGTCCTTTTTTCAGGGATCTTTTTCAGTGAAGTACATGGAATACTCATTATATTAATCAATGGAAATAATACAAGTATTATAGTACATGTGCAGAATTTACAGAATGTAAATACAATCAATGAAAGAAGATATAGAAAAAGAATTACAAGAAAAAGTGGATTGTTGTTACAAAGAGAATCTTATTCTAGAACACTTAGATCTATGTRATCAGGTACATTTTCACCAAGGTTTCTTCGACGTAGGAATTCCCTTCGTATCTTCAGATCGACGACTTTTTCAGGCATGCTATCATCTATCCAGAGCAAGAGATAAACCAAGTGATCCATTGGACATAGATGTAGCTCTGACATTCTCTGAAATCTGACTTCAGCTTCATAGTCAAAGAATAGAACTCCTAACTCAGGTTTAAAATGCACAGAGTTGGGTGTATAGGACCCTTATCTGACAAGTCAAGATTCAACATAGAAATGTCAGTACTCATATGACCCTTTAAGGAGAACCTTGTTTCATGTTCGTTCCTTAGGAATGGTCCTTCATTAGGATCAGAGAGCTTTATTTTCTTCTTCCCACCTTTCTTTAGAGTTAGCCTGTCAGGGACCTTGACATACCTGGACATCTTTTTGATGAGTTCGTTAATGGTGTCCTCGATAAGTGTCTTGTGTCTCGACTTGGATTGCTGAATGGCTTGTCTGATCTCCATCCATTCGCTGTATCCATAGCGGCCAAGGTAGGAAGGGTACTCGGTAACGGCATCAAGATTRTCCCWGGTRATGAGCATTGAGACCAGTGTTCCACCGTCTTTAGATCGTCCGCTGATGTTGACGCTGATGATTGGGCGGGGACTGAGTCTCTTTTTCAGCTTTGCTTCGCTCTATTGCTTATCCTTGTCCACTAGCTTCAGCTTCTTCTTG